ATTGAACCTCAATGCTCTCTTGAGGCCTGTCCTTGCTGTCTGGGTGCTGGCTCTGTGTTCCTCTAACAGAATAGGCATTAAGTAATTGGTGTCATATTTGCAGTGTGGCAAAAAGTGAGTGTAGGTTGGCATGAGAAAATCAGAGTCATTTGTGCAGCCCCTTTCTGTGCAGGTGGTGCAAGATGGTGTGCCTGACAGAAGAGCAGTTAATTTGGGGGAAAATGGAGAAGATGCATCATTCAAATTAGACTTTTAAATGAGATACTGAAATATTTTGCATTCATAAAATGGCCAAAGGGCAAAGGATGATATGTATGAGGAAATGCACTGTGGATAAAAAGTGTGTATGCAAGTTTTCTTTTTGTTTACATTCAGCAGTTTGTACCATTGACAATAGCCGGGTTTGCTGGTATGCTGGTTGTGTTCCAACAATATGTATGACAACTTATTAGGCTGATTGGTTTTAACTGGCTAATTTTAATATTTCATGAGGGAAAAAACAGACATTGTCAGGACACTTAATCAAGATATTGTGTGAGACACAAACCACTGTACACAAGAGTGGAATCGATCTTTCTCAGGTCATGGCTGAGATGAAGCACGACTAGACCACAGTAAAGATCTCAGGGCCACTCTGAGGGACTACTGGTCTGTAGCACTCTGCCTCATAATACTGGACTGTTCTAGGTCATATGACTGGAGGACAGGACCTTAGTTTCCAACTGAAGAAGTCAGATCATCAGAGATCTCAAGACATTCTCACCTTACCATCGGCGCATAGTGCAGCAGTGAACAACTTACCAGGAATGTGAAAGTTTAGGCACTGGTTCTTTTAAAGGGGGTCTCATAAACATCTTTTTCAGCTTGACTGTGGTCATCCATAGAGGTCTAGCCTTTGCTTTGGACCTACCTTGACCGAGTTCATGTGATTAATTAGAAGGTGTCTGTCATATCCTGAAAGTGTGTGGGCTTGTCGCTCACAGCTGCATTGCTTCCAAGGTTCAAGGTTACGTTATTTGTCTGGTGGGAAAGTAGTTGTGCATAACTGGTTTTAGAAAAAATAAAGCAATTTTAGAGAGGGAGGCATCAGGCAAGCTAGCAATGCTCACCACCATAACTTGTATTAGCACACACAACAGTCATGTCAGTGTTGATGAAGGCTACTTGAGATTATTCCATTTCACCAGGCACATAGCAAAAGAGTGAAAGCCTGGCAAATCAGGGACCCTGCATCAGACTGCTACTCTGTCCAAGGTCATTTCACTGGAGGGTTGCTTGAATGTCACTGCCAGATCGCAGTGCTGTCCTGGGTCATGTGACCAGAGAGTTGGTAGCTGAATCAGTGGCTGGCAAGGGGAGTAAATGGCTGCTCAGCTCACAGTAAGAGCCAATGGTGATAATGGGATCAGTGCAGGAAACGGATTAGAGCCCAGTAGTAGTGGCCTATAACAATGTCTGTGAGCGGGCGCAGTGTACAATTATAAATTATGGGTTATCTTTTGTGATATAAAGATTTTTTATGTGAATATTCATTTATAGGTATTTTTTGACTGAACCTTTTTTCCCCTCAAATAATGTGTTCATTGTTGAGAATTTGGCCCAGATGACAGCTAGCAGTCTGCGCCTTCAGCTCTCCTTGTAAAATGGCCCACCATTCAAAAAAATCATTTCACGTTAAATGGAAGCACAGTGGCAGAGGAATCCAGTCCTCAGTTTCTGATTAAATTCATTCATCGATTATGAATGACGCTTGAACAAAGATGATTATATCAGTGCTTTCAGAAGAGCATTTTTCTCAACAGAAGAAGATCGTGGCTGTGGAGATGGCAGGGCTTTTGTAGTGCAGTGTGTGATATAATGATGTTCCAACTGAACCGAAAGTGGAATGTACAAATTCACTTTGCCAAAATGCCAGGCTTTGTGCAGGCATTAAATAAAAAGTTAAATAAACCATATTATTTTATTCTATTTTAGTGTCAGTATGACAGTCTATGTGGCTGCGTTAGTATCAGTGACTGTGTTTCCATGGCAATGTCATCCTTGCTGACCGTGTCACAATGGCTATTTCAGTCAGATTGACCCTGCCTCTGCGGCTTACAGGTTACTGATCTTAGTCCAGGTGTAGTGATGGATGAGGGATTTTTTCCCAGGGGAGCTGTTGCATGTACAATTGTAGTGGTAAATGGCAGGTTTTGGTGCTGGCTTAATCCTCATGCACTGTATTGCCATTTTGCCATAATCTTTGTGGTCTTTGTTTCTTCTCCACTTTTTGAGAACAGTGGTCCAAGCTTTCTTCATGTGTGTTTTCTTTCCTTGCTAATATGTCCTGTTTTTCTGTGGTTCTATCTCCATGCTGTCCAAGTGTGGAGCATTCGAAAGGCAGCACTTGAGGCTTGTCTTGGAGCCAGTGACTCAAGGCCATGGTGTGAAATCTTGCCCATAAATAACGGTGTTGCATAAGGGAATGTCATTATGACTCTCTTGCTTTGAAATGGTGGCCGATTTGTGACTGTCAGTATGAGTTGAGGAACTAGCTTAGGCAGAGTTTAAAGTTTGCACCTTTAAGAAGGGGAGCTTGTGCTATGTTGTCCAACTACATGCTTCTTATGCTGTTTAAAAGGAATTTATTATATCTGAATGTGTTGTATAATTGGTAATAGTGCTGCTGCCCAAAGCACAAGTCACTAATAGAATGCTTCTTACGGTGTAAAAACAGTTTTTGGCAGGCTTTGTTCTGTGGCCATGTCCTGTGATGTCACTCTCTGTGGGGAAGGGTGGTTACTCACTGAGTGGGAAATTGATCAAGATGTTGCTATGTGACCAAGTGGATGAGCAAAAGTTCAGTGTCTATCCATCTGACTTAACTGTCTCCATCCCTGTTTCTCTGTCTGTATCAGTTTCTCTTTACCAATACCTTCTTTCTGTGTGTGGCTTGCAGTTGCTCACTCAGTTCATTGTGTAATTTCACTTTGCTTTATAGGCATGACAACATTTCCATTGCCAAGGTACATACCCAAAAAGAATGGTTAAAATGGAAGGAAAAATTAACTATAAATAACAATTGTAGCACATAAATTATTTGATTACTGAATCTTTAGTTGCAGAAGAACTTAGCCAATGCTTTCTCTCACTGGTTGTCCTTTTATTCTTTCTCTCTCTCTCTCCCTCTGTCTGTCTGTCTCTCTCTCTGTCTTTCACTCTCTTTCTGTCTGCCCAAATGCCTGGCAGCTCTGGTGTGGTGGTGGAGGCCATCCTGCAGAGGCACTGAACACCCACTCGGCGGTAAATTATTTAAATTCCACTGCAGGCGTTGTGCGGTGAAAGGGGGGAAGAGGTTACTAAGAGAGGCTTCTGAAAAGTTTTTAGCTCCAAGTTATGCTCGCATTCTGGTCATTGCTTTAGTGCATTCTGTCAGTTGTGTATGCAGTCTTAAAAGTATTTGTGGCGCGCATCCAAACGAGTGACGGTCGTCTTGCCTAACAGGATGGGAGTGCTGTCAGGTGGAAAGCCGTTATGGTCAGGTATGAGGGGGGGCCCATGAGGGGCCTCAATCCCAGACCCAGCTCTCATTTGTTTTGGCTTCCTTTGAGGGTTTGCATTATATTGTTTTGAAAATCATGTCAGGCTAATATGTGGTCAGCACTTAATTGCCTCAGTGGAATAGACCATATTGATAATGCTGACAATGCTTTCACTTTTTCCATGACTGTACTATGGTGTATTCTCCTTGCTTTGAGAATGACCCAGAACGGTGTTGTGGTTGTTAGCTTGCTTAAGTGTAGGTAAATCCAGTTGGCCCAGATCTGTCAGTAATGAGAAGTACATGTGAGCTACATGGGTGTAGGGGTGCTGGAATGTGATCTCGTTCAGCAGTAAATGCCAGACGCATTTATTTTAAGCGGGGCTGCTCAGATTCATTGCACTGTAGACGTGGATCAGCCGCTACAGCACACTCCACCTCCAGCATGAGAGTGAGTGAGGGTGCCCTGCTGTACAGAAATCACAGATCTGTATGATGTGAGGATTTGCCAGTGTGGCATAATGAATGGCATGACAAACCAGTCACATTTTGCATTTTCCTGTGAATATATTTCCATCCTGGACAGTCATGGGATAGTAATTTGCCCCATTAAAAAGAAAGCTTTTTTGCAGTGATAAAGAAATACATCAGTCTTTCTCGTTGCTAATTAATTGGATAGTATATTATTTTATAGTATATTTATTCTACTAGTAAGCTTGACACGTGGAAATAAAGTATCTTCTTTTCCAAGACTCAAAATCATTTGAAAGTTATGTGCCTCAAAATGTCCACCTCATAAAAAAGTAGCCCTGACTATTACATGCAGAAATCCTTCAAAATCATATATCAATGAAAAGTAATCAGTTTGATTGGAGTAGAAATGCTGCCAGCAGATCTGTTCAGGTTCCTTCTGCACACAACAGTCTGTCATCATGTACCCCCTCCCCCAGCCAAACTCCCTGTCCTGGCACCAGAGGGGAGAGGGTGTAAAAAGCAGGGTATCAGGGGTCTGGACGCATGCCATGTGTTTCCTGTGTGCGATGCGCTCCTCTCTGCAAATATAAAAATGGTGCTGATGTGCTAATGGCTTGAGGGCTGCCACAGGGGATTATGGGTAATGATGCATTAGCACATGCTCTGAAACTGTGGCTGTTAGCTGGTGTCTAGGGGCACAGGGTCACATGGTCTGCCTGGGAAGTGTGTGCCGAGCATCTGATTTAAAATGTCATTCGAACAATATGACTGCGTACAACATGCTACATTATGGTGATGCTTATGCTTATTACTGCCGTTGCTAAGTTGGTCCATTATTACCTGTTTATTGTCCAGCTTTTTTAAATACTCAGTTCTGATTGGCTGGACCCACACAGAGAAACTGTATAATTTACAGCTATGAAGTAGGTACAGTGAAAGTGGTCTCATCACCATTCGAAATTAATTCACAAACCCATTTAACACTCTTTTTTCAAGTGAAATAGGGGCAGCTATAGTCTAGTGGCTAAGGCACATGATTGGAACCCTTGAGGTTGGTGGTTCAAGCCCCAGTCCAGCCACAGCAAGAACACCATTGCTGTTGGACCCTTGAACAACCCCACATTACTCACAGGGGGGATTTGCCCTTGTTTAGCCTAATCAACTGTGCCATTTTGGATAAAAGTGTCAGCTAAATAACTATACAATAATATAATGTAAATAGCACCAAAGAACAAGTTAACATCATAGTAACTTTCAACATAGTATTGCATCAGATTTGTTTACTTGAATGTCATTGTTGTTTTATAACAAAAATCACAAGATAAGCAGAGTAAACCACTCTGAACTGTGTGGTTATAGACTAAGAGCTCCTTGGCTTTGTCATGGGCATGTATAACACCTACACATTGTGGCTTATTTTTGTGTGACTGTAAAACCCATCATGGTTTACTGCTTACTATCAGAGATGTAAGATTCATGGCTCCTTTTAACTTCACAGGGAGCAGCCCATCTTCACCACCCGTGCTCATGTCTTCCAAATCGACCCCACCACCAAAAAGAACTGGGTCCCTGCCAGCAAGCAGGCCGTCACTGTCTCCTACTTCTATGACAGCACGCGCAACAGCTATCGCATCATCAGCGTAGATGGGTCCAAGGTGAGTGACAGGGTTGGGCCTGTGGGTGGGGGTTTTACTACGGTGAAGAAGTGGGCAAGGATGGAGAAAGCTGGGTGTGGATATGGATGAGAGAAGGGTGTGGCCATTGAAGTGGGTGTGGCTATGAATGATAAATGGGTGCGGCTATGGAAAAAGGGCTATGGTTATGGATGAGATGTGGGCGTAGATGTGGAGGAAAGCTTTGTGAGACCAAGGCTGCTTTAACAGGATAATTTACCTAGCTGTCCCAAAAGGGAGTGCTTGTTGACAAGCATGCAGACATCTTGCAACACGACCTACTGTGAAAAGAAGCAGCAAATGTTGAGATGGCAGACTTTCCTGCCCTCTGATGTCACTGAGCAGGTGCAACGGGTCAGCCTTCTCCTGAGGGCAATGAGACCGAAAGACCTATGAAAATAGCATGCAGTGTCCCAAGGCCATTGAGCTACAGTCTCTCCATATGTTATGTGCTGGTATCAGGGCTGTACCCTCAGCATTGTGAAAAAAATCATATTTTCCAAAAAGACAATGTTTTGAAAGAAGAGAAGCTCATTATTATGTTGAATTGCTTTAAATAAGCCTGAGTTGTGTGGTGTTTTGTATAAACTATATTTGTCACAGAGCAAGAAACATTGACTTCACAGAACTTTTGTTGCAAGCTTTCTATTGCATATCAATCTCAAAAATGGAGGATGATGCCAACGACATCCTCTGTGTATGGATTCAGAAAACACTAGGGGAAGACCACTCTGACAGAAAAGCTCTTGAAGTGAATGAAATACAATTGCAATGTTTTAACTCCTGAAATATGACTAGATCAGTAAGTCATGTGTAAGCTATGTCCGTGACATGTGGATGGCAAGCTGTCTGTAACAAGGGGAATGCTCAGTCCAGAGTCCCTTAGTGATTTACACAGAGGTTGTGAAAGAGAAGGCTTTTAAAAGGACATTGTGTTAGAGGGCCACTCTGAGAAGCTAGCGCTCCTCCATGCGGCTAAATTAAGACCCGTCCCGTCACATCGGCTCATGGCTGATTGCTCGCCCCACCCCGCAGTGGGGGGCTTCCCTCAGCAGGTGCAGCCCGGTCCACTGTTTCCTAGTCAGTCACGCCAAATCCCTGGAGTCGCCAGTAAAACGCACTGATTTCCACAGATGGTGTTAATGCTTTAAAACTGTGCTTTGCCAATTTCCCCAGGTTTCTTTCTAAAGTTAGCGGATGCGCACCATGAAGGTTGTCTGCTCTCCTCTCAGTCTGTCCATTGTCCCCCCCCCCCCCCCCCCCCCCCCATCTACCTCCTCTTGTTCTTCCACCTCATGCTCAGAGCCTGGCATTTTGTGTCTTTAAGGAGATGGCATGACTGTGTTCTCTGATTATGGGACCCACTGTAGCCCTGTGCCTACCTGTGCTGGGTGTGGAGCATGAACCTGTGTGTCTATCACAGCTGCACAGACATTGCATCACATTCTTCCTTCCTCTGTCGAGTCCAAACAGGAAATAAACTGCTGAATTTCCTTTGAGGAATCTTAAAAAAAAAAAAATCATCATCAAGAGCAGCAGCCTGCAATTACTGTCGATGTTACTGCAACAGAGGATTATGACAGGTGATGCATATCCCTGATTTTGAATTTTATGATGAAGAATTGTATAGAGAACAGCCTGCAAAATCAGTTCACAACATACTGAATTTGCCACAACCTGATTTCACAAGGATGAGGGTGTGAGATGATATTCTTGCATCAGACTCTGTCGCACACTGCCTCCGGATGAGTCCTCAGAAGGGTGAATCAGATCTGAGTCACACACACAAACGCCTGGAACTTCTGTCAGACCTAGCCACTGTGTTCTTCCTGAAATGTGCATATGTGTCACTTGTCTTTTTTTACAGAACTGATTGTGTATGTATGTGCGCCAATTGTCCATGTGTGAAAAAGGGAAAGAGTGTGTGTGCATGTATTTGAGAGAGAATGCGTGTGTGCGAATGTGTGCGTCTGTCAGAGTACACTGTTTACATCATCCTATTCGAATGTAACCGAAGTACACTCTGATCTACATTCTGTTCACCTGCAAAAAGAGCGCACTCTACATTCCACTCACCTGTAACCAGAGCGCGCTCTACATTCCACTCACCTGTAACCAGAGCGCGCTCTACATTCCACTCACCTGTAACCAGAGCGCGCTCTACATTCCACTCACCTGTAACCAGAGCGCGCTCTACATTCCACTCACCTGTAACCAGAGCGCGCTCTACATTCCACTCACCTGTAACCAGAGTGCACACCCCTGCTTTAGCAAAGCCTCATGTCCCAGTGATGATGAGGCTGCAGATTTTGCTGGTGCCAGGAGTGTTTGTGTTTCTCTGTGTTTCTCTGTGTTTCTCTGAAGCTCAGAGCACGAGGGATTAAGTTAAGCCTCTGTGTCACCTGTTCCCCACCCCTCCCGAAAACATACGGTGTCTTCCTCAAGGGGTTCACCACAGAGGAAATCCCCAGCTGGTGAGGGGATCAGCGAGAGCATGGGGGTGAAGGATTATACACCCCATCCCCCTTCACACACAGACACACACTCACATACATGCATGTGCACATACATGCACTCATACTAGGTGTTTTAGATTACAGCTGATGTATGACTGTGTCTGGCATGCAGCTCCAGCTGAGGAAGGGCTCTGTTGGAGGTGGATGGGGGAGGGTAGAGTGAAACTGATCCAGGTTCAGTGATTGCAGACCCAACCAGTGGCCTCTGCCAGCTGGGATTGACTGGGTGTCCCATGTCAATGCCAACTGGCAACACCACTCCCCATCCTTCATTAGCCCAAGAACCTCAGGTTTCAGTCACAGATTCTCTCCACCCCCCCCCCCCCCCCTCCCCAGAGTGGGTGGCATATCCTGCTTTCCTATATTATTTTTATCTTTTATTGATTATGACAGCTATGACAGGCTGGCTGAGGACAGGTACTGCAGGAGCAGGTTGCCCCAGCACAGCAAGCAGACAATTAGAGCGCATTATCGCCAAACATAAATATACTGTGCTTTCTGTTCTCTCTGAAGAGACTAATGTAGCTTACCTCATTGGAGCTAGAGAGCATTAGATTTTGATTTTGCTTTTCTATTGAAGTTCACTCTCAAAGAAAATGCCATCGAAGAGGGTACTAATTAGAACTAATTACACTGAAATCCATGCCTCCTTTGTGCTGTGTACCCAGAATCAGTAGGTTGCAGGGGACCTGGGTGGGGAAAAAAGGAAGTTAAAAGGAGGGAAGAAAAGTGGGAGAGAGGAAGAGAAAGTAGAGGTGGGAGAGGGAGAGCGAGGGGAAGAGAGTCCATTTAACATATTTATGTACTGCTTCTATCCTTATTTCACTTTTATGTTATCATATACTTATTATAATTATGTTTATGCATGTATATATTAAACAGTCTATTCACATCACTCGATTTAATGCAGTATGTTACATGTATAGTATTACACCAGTTTTACCAATTAAGCACTACTTAACTGAAGGTAAAAGATGAGACAGGAAGATACACAACAAGGGAGGGAGGGAGACAGAGAACAAAAGATAATGAAAGCGAGACGGGATGCAAGTGCTATGGTGGTTTCACTGGCGCAAAGTGGATTATTTCCTGTTATGTGTCTGTCAGGGCCGATTTATCCTGTCACACCATGTGACAGCAAGGTGGGGCACTCACACCTCCCTTAGCGCAAGATTTCTCTTGTGCACGTGGGTGTGTGCCACTGAGGTTAGATTACTTGCTGGATTAGATTACTCTGCCTTACAATTACAGTTTGGTATTTTATTTAATAATTTCAAGCAGTGACAAAGCAGCACAAAACTATAACTCTAACAGACTGGCTCTGTTCCATGAATATCTTGTTTTGTTAACCTTAGTTAACTATTAATTTGCAAACTCCAGCAAGATAAGTACACATTGCTGTGCCTGGATGTTAAGAATGAAACTGGGATCCATATTCCACCTTAGTCAGCCCTCTGTTACTAATGCAAGTTGTAATTATGGACTAAAATTTCATTTTATTTCACTTTCAGATGGAAAAGCCAGTAATTCTGTTTTTCAGAATGTTTGAAAACATAGTTTTTTTTTTTTTTTTTCGCTTTGACGGAAAGTGGGCCACTGTCCTTGAGGGTGAAAGCACCATTTTATCTTCAAAATAGGAGATGCTGGTTCTTTGTATTTGAGTGCCATTCATCTCTGTGTGTCACCCAGCTGTTATTGGTCTGTTTTACGTCACCTCTTACGAAGAGCAGGAATGCCCTCTGGGTAAGAACATGTTTCCTGATTTGTAAAGGATATAGAAAATGGAAAAGGCAACCATTTTGTGAAATGCTGCCAGAGTTGTTTGTGCATAGACAAACATGACCTCATTGAGGGAATTGAATATTGTGTTTGTGTTGTGGGAGTTCTGATAC